ATTCATCCATCCACGTGTTCATCGTTCATCCATTCATCATCTATCCACCCCTTCATCCTTCCACCACCCATTCATACTGGCACATGTTCATCAAGTGCTCTGCATGGACCAGAAATGCAGGATCTTGTCTTAGGCAAAGTTTATGTAGAGAAAATGTGGTGTTACTTGAGCAGAGGAGTGTGGGAAATTGACAGTGAACACTATTGGAATAGGGGGAGGCCCTGTATGCACTGTAACTATGGAACAAGATATGCGTGATTGAAGAAAGGTAAGGAGAGGCTTATGCACAACAACAACATAGAAGATCAATAGGAAGGGCCAGGGGAGCTGAGCTGAGTGGACGAGCAGGTGGGGTGAAGGCAAAGTACAGAAAGGAAACTTCCAAAACTTGATTTTATCTTGCATATTTACAACTTGTTCAACGCTGAATAAATAGCTGTTGTTGTTGTTGTTGCTGTGTACCATAGAGTCGGAACTGATCCATAGCTGAGCCTCCAGTGGGTTTCCAGAGGTAGTTAGTCGCACGGGAGGAGACTGCCCATCCTTCTCCCACGGAGGAGCTGGTGGCCTTGAACTGCATGCCTTTGGGATTACAGCTTGGCTTCTTGCCACTAGGCCACCAGAGCTCCCTGATTAAATAGTATACTTTAAAAAAAAATTCTCTGCAACTACAATCCCAGAGGTGCACGGCTCGAATCCACCAGATGCTCTGCCGGGGAAGGAGGAGCAATCTCCTCCTGTACCAGTCAGATCTGATTTGACGGTACACGCACACAAAAATAATAAAATTTAAAAAAAAATTCTCTGTGAGTGCTCGCTTTGGCAGCACATATACTAAAACTGGAAGGAAACAGAAGATTAGCATGGCCCCTGTGCAAGGAGGACACACGAATTCATGAAGCGTTCCATATCTGCTTTACTGAGTGCAGTATTTCTGTCACGGAAGGGGAAATATTGCATAAGACCACGACTGTGAAACAGGAGGAAGAATGAGTAAGGTATGTATTGTAACTGTTCATAGGGAAAAGAGAGGAGGGGAGCAGAAAAAGGAGAAGGGGGAAATCCCTGGGATAGGAGATGTTAGTGGGTGGAGTGAAGTAATGGGAAGGTTCAATGTGGACATGAAAAAGATGTGGTGACAATAGGCATTGTTGTTGTTGTTAGGTGCCTTTGACACTATAGAGTTGCTGAGTGGAGTGAGTGTCTCCCTGGTGTTACTGTTCATCTTGCCTATTGTTGGGCTGCAAGAGGAGTCAAACGGATGCATTTTGTTCCAGAAGAAAAAAACGATGGCTTTGAATTGTGGTATTTGTCAAACAGATTGTTGTTGTTGTTGTTGTTGTTAGGTGCTATCAAGTTGAGCATGATTCATAATGACCCTAGGAACAAAAGATCTGAACCCTGTTCTATCTTACACCGTCCTCTCACTTCCTGACCCACTAGAACCCATTGCAGCAGTCACTGTGTCAGTCTACCTGGTTGAGTTTCTTCCTCTCTTTCACTGACCCTCCACCATTCCTAGCATCATGTCCTTCTCCAAGGAATAGACCCTCCTAACAACATGCCCAAAGTCTGTAAGGTGAAGAAGCATCGTCATTCTTGCCTCCAAAGAGCACTTCCTCTTCAAGACATACCTGTTTGTTCTCTTGCCATCCATGGGATTTTCAGTGCTCTTTTCCAACACCACAGCTCAAAGGCATCAAGTCTTGTTCTGTCATCTTTCTTTATTCATTGTCCAGCTCTCAGATGCATACCAAATGATTGAAAAGACTATAGCTTGAATCAGACACACCTTAATTCTCAAACTGACATCATTACTCCTCAATAATTTGGAGAGGTCTCTAACTGCAGATTTTTCCAGACAATGCGTCTTCTTATTTCCTGACTGCAGATACCAAAGGTGTTAATTGTGGATCCAGGCAAGATGAAGCTGTTTGACAGTTTCAATCTCTCCATTCATCACGACGCTGTCTATCAGTCCAGTGCTAAGAACCTTTGTTTTTTTTGACATTGAGATGCAATCCATACCAATGGCTGCAATCCTTGATCAATGGTAATTAATTATATAAAATTATACAAAAAATTATTTTTAAAACTATATAACATATAATGTATATGAATGACTGTATAAAACACAATATATATGAGTGATCATATGCAAATCAATTAAAAAAGTTTATGCTCGAAACTAGGTTTAAAAAAATGTCTCTGTGAACCAGCACTAACTAGACAGTGGGGGGAAGCTGATATTTTGATGAGTGTGGACAAATGCAGCCCTGCTTTCAGGATGTGAGTGGCAGAGCACGAGAAGACAAGTAATGACCAAGGAAGTTCAGATGTGACATAGGTGCTCGGATGGCACAGTACGCTATGTGTTATGCTGCTAACTAAAAAGGTCAGAAGTTTGGACACACCAGCTGCTCTGAGGGAGAAAGCTGGGTACTCTCCTCCGTTTAAGATTCACAGCCTCAGAAACCTGATAGAGGGGCCCTGTGAGTCAGAATTCATAGCAGTGGGCTATATGAGGCATACTCAAGAGTAATTTGTTGTTGGGGAAGCAATGTAGCAGGGTGATGGGCCGAGAAATCGAGGTGACAGTACAGAGGAGAAAGGACAAAAAGGTGATGTTGACTAGTCACCAATACAGAAGTTGGGGTAGAGGTAGAACTGGTTTCTTATTTTGCAGGACCCAGAACAAAAGAGTGCAATTGTCAATTACTTGGATCCACTTCCAGCAACCAGGGTCTCAGGTAAGGTCCCTCACAGGGATGTGCATGGAAGGACCCATTTCTCCACTTCAGTTTGCACTCATCTGGGTGGAAGGAGTTATTTACTGAAGCAAATCCCACTCCAAGGGGGAAACAGTGAGAGGGAAGAGGATTAAAACAGAATGGTTCATCCATGGACAGTGGACATTCTCTCCTTGGTGGGTCCTCCGTCCCACCTGGAAGGCTGCCAATGTAAAAAAAACAGAGTCACCAGTTATACCCTTTAAATAGTCTCACTTGGTGCAGACCTTCCCAACAACCTCAGGAATAGGTGTGGAATATAGTTTTGAAGTTTCTGCTTTTCAAACATCACCAAAGAAGAGTGGTTCCTCTGGTTGCTAGTTGGATCCTGGCTGAAAGCAGAGAATACCAGAGAAATGTTTGTGTTTCACTGACTGTGTGAAGGCATTTGACTGTGTGGATCATAACAAATTCTTGATAATCCTGAGAAGACTGGGACTCCCAGAACATTTCATTGAGCTCATGTAGAATCAGTACGTGAACCAAGAAGCTATTGTTCAAACAGAATAAGGTGTAAAATTATGGCGGAAAATCAGGGAAGGTGTGCATCAGGGTTATATCCTTTTTCCATATCTATTCAATTTGTATACTGACTGAACAAATCATTTAAGAAGCTGGACTCTATGAAAAAGAATGTGTTATCAGGGTTGGAAGAAGTCTCACCAACGCTCTGATTTCTGCAGAAGATATACTGCATGCAGAAAGTGAAGATAGGAGGCACTTACTGACAGTCAGTACTACAGCCTTCAATATACCTCACATCTCACCATCGAGAAAACAAAAATCCACAGGCAACATCAAGGGGAAAAGACTGAAGTTGTCAATGATTTCATTGTACTTGAAACGACAATCAATACCCATGGTTGCAGCAGGCAAATCAAGAGACATGTTGCATTGGGCAAATGTGCCCTCAAGGGCCTCTTCAAAGTGCTAAAAGAGCAAGGATATCAGTTTAAAGACTAAGGTGTAGCTGGTTCAAACCATGGTATCTTCAATAGCTTATTAGGTATACAGGACAATGGACAAGGAAGACCTAAAAGGAATCACTACCCTTGAACTGTGAGGCTGGCAAAGCATCCTAAATACCCCATGAAGTCTGTTTTGGGGGAAGTGCAACCAGAATGCTCCTTAGAGGCAAAGATGGGGAAGCTTTGTCTCATATAATTGGGGTGTGTTTTCAGTAGGGACCAGTCCTTGGGAAAAGCATCACGCTTGGGAAAGTAGAGGATCGGTGAAGGGGAAGAAGCCCCCTCACCCGGACGAGCTGACACAGTGATGGCAGTAATGGGCTTGAGCATGGCAGGGCACTCGGACGGTGCAGGAACTCTGTTGTTCATGGGTCAGGGTGAGCCATAGTCAACTCAACAGCACCTAACAACAACAGTTCCAGGTTGAATGAATGAAAAATCTCTCATAAGTGAATGAGCCTCCTTCCTGGTCAGCCAAAATGGCTTCTGCCGGAATCAGGACTTATACACAGGTTAACTTCCCCAGCCAGACTAAGATCTCCTAGAATTCCAGGCATGGAGCCCTGCACATACAACCAATCCAAAAACCTACTGTTGCTGAATCTATTCCAACCCGCAGGGACCCTTCATTGAATTTCTGAGGCTGTAGATCTTAAGGAAGAGACAGTCCATCTTTCTCACAGAGCATCTGGTAGATTCGAACCTCTGACATTTTAGTAGCAGCTGGACACATGCATTTTACCAGCAGAGTGTACAGTAAAGGTTCACCAACATTCTTTAATAGAAGGAAGGTGGGGAGGTTTATGCCTTCTACTTTTTACCAAGAAGTTGCCATCGAGGTGATTGTTGAAGCATATGTCAGAGAAGAATGGTTTTCTTGGCTGTAACAGTTATGGAAGGAAGCTCTGGTGGCCTAGTGGCAAGAAGCTCTGCTGCAATCCCAAAGGCACACAGTTCGAGGCCACCAGCTACTCCATGGGAGAATGGGCAGTCTCCTCCTGTGTGATTAACTGCCTCTGAAAACCCACTAGAGGGTCAGCTATGGGTCCATTCCACCTCTACAGTTCACAACAACAATAGCTATGGAAGCGGATTGACAGACCATTCTTCTGCGGGACTGCTGAGTGGGTCCAAACTGTCAACCTTCGGGTAATGTGACCACCTGGGTGGACTGAGCCAGTGAAGGCAAAAGAAGGGTGCAGGCCCACTAAGCTTTGCTTTGGGGGAGCAAGAGAGGTCTTACCTGATGGTGAGGGCAGTAGCTTCAGACTCGCCAGCAGTCACAGCAGCATCCAGAGACAGGGTCCCCAGGCTGGCCCGGCTGCCCTTCCGGGAAGATTCTCGGAACGAGCCAGCGCCCGTGTCCTCGTCAGAGGAGTTGTCATCAAAGGAGCCCAGGATGAAGTTGGTCATCAGCTGCCTCTTGAGGTGAGCCTGCTTCTCATCTTCTCTAGAGGTGGCCCTAGCCTGCTGGGCCTGGGGCCCGGCTGGGGAGGACGGACCATTGCTTTCTGGAGTTATGGTTGCTGTCCCATTGGCTTGGGGTTCTGAGGTGGCCGATGGGCCATCAGAGGAAGGAGAATGTTTCTGAGGCTTCTGGTGTGGGGGTGGCCGGGAAGCACCCTGCCGGGAAGTGTCTTTGGGGTCTCGGAGAGGTGCAGGTGTCTTTGGTAGGGAGCTGCAGCCATCCTTCCCCAGCATGGGCTCCTCGGAGCTGTCCGGAGCGGAGAAGGACTTCTGGTCAGTAGCTAAGCTCGCTTTGGATCTGCTCTTGCTGCTCAGGCTGGAGTCAGTCATGGTCTTCCAGAATTTTAACCAGGAGAAGGTCAGGTAGGAAAAGAACAGACAGGACACAAGAAGCAACAGGACCATTCAGAAAACCTGTTAAGGAGAGAGGAGAGGCATGTGGTCAGGGGCTGCGTCACCAAGGGCTTTCCAGCCCAGAGACAATCAGAGGGCAAGGGCCAGTGAGATTCTGAGGTGAGTAGACAGGTGAGAGAGACAGGGGCTCCGCGCAAAGGTTGGGACAGGCTCAGCTCCCAGCTGGGAGGCGAACTTGCTCTCTGGCCTTAAACCAGCTCCTCACTTCTAACTGAGGCACTCCCATGCACTAGGGAGAGCTGGTGGCTTGGTGGTCAGGAGTTGCATTGCCAACTCAAAGGCTTGTAGTTCAAAGCCACCAGATGCTCTATGAGAGAAAGATGGGAAATCTCCTCTACTGTGATTCAAGTGCCTCTAAAAACCCACTGGAGAGTCAGCTATGACTTGGATCTGACTCTCTCGTCTGCCTCAACAAGGCACTGACTCAATTTAACTCTTTGCTGTAAGTTGGAAGCTAGTCATGGCTGATCCTCCAGTGGGGTTTTGGAGGCTGTGAATTGCACGGGGAGATGTGGCCCATCCTTCTCCTCAGGGCCGCTGAAGGATTCGAACCAGCAGAGAAGCCCTACCTTTAGGTTAGCAGGTTACAGGCCACCTCTAGAGCTCCCCTACGCATATTTAAAGTAGTGATCCCGTTTAGCACTCTCATGTGCCAGAAATCACAAACGTGCCACGTGAGACACTAAAGAGATCATGTGTGTTAAAAAACTCTGTTACAGCAGCATCATTATAATAATTTAATGTGGCTATAGAGAGCTGGGCCAACCCTGAAGATGATGGAAGAAATCTGGAGGACAATCACTTGGCCAACTGACTGGAAGAGATCTATATTTGTTCCCATTCCAAAGAAAGGTGACCCAACAGAGTGTGGAAATTACTGAACAATATCAATTGATATCACATGCAAGCAAGATTCTACTGAAGATTATCCAAAAACGACTGGAACAGCACATCAGCAGAGAACTGCCAGAAGTCCAGGCTGGGTTTAGAAGGGGTCGTGGTACTAGGGATATTGCAGCTAATGTTAGATGGATCTTGGCTGAAAAGCAAGGAGTAGCAGAAGAATGTCTATCTGTGTTTCATTGATTATGCAAAGGCATTTGACTGTGTGGATCACAACAAACTGTGGCTGACTCTGAGAAGAATGGGAATCCCAGAACACTTGATCGTGCTAATGTGAAACCTATACTTGGACCAGGAGGCACTTGTCAGAACAGAGCAAGGGAACACTGCATGGTTCAAAATTGGGAAGGGTGTATGCCAGGGATGTGTTCTATCTCCATACCTTTTCAACCTATATGCAGAACATATTATCTGGGAGGCTGGGTTGAATGAGAATTGTGGCATCAGGATTGGTGGAAGATTCATCAAGAATCTGCGTTATGCAGATGACACAACACTGCTTGCTGAAACTGAGGAGGACCTGAAGCACTTGCTGAAGAAGATCAAGGACTGCAGCCTTCAATATGGATTGAGGCTTAATATCAAGAAGACAAAGTCAACTGTCAGCATCAGGATGGATGGGAAAAGATTTAGATTATTAACAGCTTTAGTTTGCTTGGCTCCACAATCAACACTCTTGGTACCAGCAAACAAGAAATCAAGAGACAAATTACATTGGGAAAGTCAGCTGTCAGAGACCTCTCCAAAGTATTGAAGAGCAACGCTATCAGTCTGGAGACTAAGGTGCACCTTATCCAGGCCATAGTTTTCACAATTGCTTGCTGTGTGTCAGAGAGCTGGACAATGACTAGGGAGGATAGAAGGAGAATTGATTCCTTTGAGCTATGGTGTTGGAGAAGAGTACCGAATATACCATGGACTGCTAAGAAAACGAAGGTTCATCCTGGAGAGGGTTAAACCAGGCTGCTCTTTGGAGGCAAGGATTCTGATGCTTCGTCTGACATACTTTTGGACATGTTGCAAGGAGGGACCAGTCCTTGGAGAAAGATGTCATGGTTGGGAAGATGGAGGAACAGCACAGGAGAGGAAGACCCTCTATGAGGTGGACTGATTCAGTGACTGGGGTAATAGGGGTGGGTGTGTCAGAGACAGTGAGGTTGGCACAGGATAGAGCAGAGTTTAGGGCTGTTGTACACAGGGTCGCTATGAGTTACAGGAGACTTGATGGCACATAACAACAACAACAACAACAACAACGTCTTGATGTTGCCTATCAGTCCAGTGGTAAGACTTTTTGTTTTCCTGACATTGAAATGTAAGCCATATTGAAGGCTACATTCTCAGATCTTCTGCAACAAGTGCTTCAAGTCCTCCTCACTAACAGCAAGCAAGGTGTGTCATCTACATAAAGCAAGTTATTGATGAGTCTTCCTCCAATCTTGATGCCACATTCTTCATCGAGTCCAGCTTCTTGAATAATTTTCTCAGCATACAAATGGAATGAGAATGGAGAGAGATTACGACCCTGATGCACTCTCTTTTTCATTTTAAACCGTGTCATATTCTCTTGATCTGTTTGCACAACAGCCTCTTGGTCTAGGTGTAGATTTCACATAAAACCTTTTATCCCCCCTTTATTTAGGACATCTCTTCTTTATAATTAGTTAATATTATTAATAATATCTTCACTATTACCATCAGCCTGGTCCCAGAGAGGGAAAATGGCACACTGTCCTATTTTCTGAATAGGAGAAATACACCTGTCCTGGGGTATATTTACAATGAGACAGGAAGTTCAAAAAGGCCGAGAAGACTGTTCTGTTCGAGGTCTAGAACAGCGCCCGGTACAGTGAGGACCTAATACGTGTCTGATGAACACACGAGCCTGTGTCCTGATTTCTAACCTAGACCTCTTCTCACCACATTCCGTGCTAGTAAAGAGTGTGCTGTTGTTGTTAGGGACTGCAGAGTCAGACCCAAGTCACAGCTGACCATCCAGAGGGTTTTCAGATGCCTGTCAAGGGAGAGTGCCCATCTTTCTTCCTTGGAGCAGCCGGTGGATTTAAACCAACTTCCTCTGAGTTGGCAGCACAACTCCTTTCCATTAATACATATGAGCAGATAACTTATTTGAAAGAAATATACTTTTAAAAAAAGTAACCCGAACATGTTGAAATTTCAGGAACTTATTTTTGCCACCATCATATCCTAGAAGCATTAAAAAAAAAAAGCTATGGCTATAAAAGTTAATTACATCAATCTGGTGGCTAAAAGATCTATTTCATTTTTTCTTGTATGTATACCAAAATAGAGCATTTTCTATTTAAACCCCTTTTAAATGTACAATCTAGTCACTCAGATGTGCAGCCAACATCAGTATCTCTTTCCAAATACTTGCCACTACATTAACTCAATCCCCTTCAAGGAATAACTCCTTGTCCGCTTCCCCTGGGCCCCAGGCAACCACTTTTGTCCCTATGCATTGGTCTATTCTAGACACTCATATAAGTGGAACCAGACAGTTACTTTGTCCTTTTGTAAAAAGCTTTCTTTCTTTTAAAATTTCAACACAATGTTCGAGAGATGATAGAAAAATAGATGCCTTTGAGCTGTGGTGCTGGAGAAGAGTATTGAATATACCATGGACTGCAAGGAGAATAAACAGGTTCATCCTGGAGAGGGTGAAACTAGGCTGCCCCTTGGAGGCAAGGATTCTGAAGTTTCATCTAACATACTTTGGACATGTTGCAAGGAGGAACCAGTCTTTGGAGAGGGACATCATGGTTGGAAGGGTGGAGGGATGGCACAAGTGAGGAAGAGCCTGGATTAGATGGATTAATGCAATGGTTGGGGTAATGGGGGTAGGTGTGTCAGAGACAGTAAGACAGGCACAGGATAGAGCAGGGTTTAGGGCTGTTGTACATAAGTTCGCTATGAGTCATAGGCAACTTGACAGCACATAACAACAACAACAATAAAAGTTTGTAAAGTCACAGCAATAAAAAAATCTAATAGAGCAGAGTTTTCACTGGTTCACATCTTGGGGCCTCAATCACCTCTCTGAAACTCTGACCTGACTGGGCAACCCAACCTACTGCTGGGCTGGCAGACACACTGATCCAGGCTGGTGTCTTCCTTTTACCCACCCATGAAGGCAGCAAAAGTAGCCACCAGGTGCCCAGACCACTCCCACTGAAGGTCCTTTTTCTCTCGTTTTTTATTTCCTTTGCTTTTAAAAATTTGTTTCTGTTTTACTCTTACAACTTCCCCCCCTTTTTCATATTTTCTACTATTTTGTCTCTCTAGCTACGCCCCCACACCCTTGCTAGTCTGTTCTCTTTTTCTTCTCCCCCCTCACCTTTTTCTTTTCTTAATTTTCACCTTTCTATCCTGATGCCCCCTCATTTTGTTCTCCTCTAAGTCATGGTGTATATATATTTTTTCTTTCTTTTTTTTTTACTGTCCAAGCTGCACTGCAATACTGAAGGCATGCGGTTTGAGTCCATCAGCTGCTCCACAGAAGGATGGGGAATCTTCTTTTATGCAAATTAACTGCCTCTGAAAACCCATCGGAGGGTCAGCTACGAATTCCTTCCAACTCTACGGTACATGATAACTTGGGTTTTTGTTCTTTACTGGTGTTCGTTTTCCTCCCCTTTTCTTTGTCTCATCTGACAAAAAACAACAACAGCATCCAGACGCACAGCATCTGCAGCTTCAACCATCAGCCAGGACTGAAGACTGGCTCCTGCTGGACCTGATCAATGCAGAACTGCAGCCAACACTCACCGGGTCTTCCTTCGATTGCCCTACAAAACAGCAACTAGATAGAGAATCGCACACCATCCTCTATCACATTCACCAGAAGACAGCGTGTATTATCAAACTAGCAAACAACACAACATACTCGAAGCAGATATACCAAATACTGCACATACCCGTTCTGAGCGAGCTCTGAGTGTATCAGGCATGGCTCAACCAAACTGATCAAAGCAAAACAGTACAAAGACAACAGCACCCCATTGTCTCAGAGGCGGGGGAGAACTTTAAACCAGCTTTTAAAAAATGAAAATAAAAACAAAACAGGG